GGCGTCGAGACGTGGGCGTCGGGCGGCCGTGGCGCTGCCGCTGCTGTCGCGATAGTCTGTTCTGGCCGTTTTCGACACCGCGTGTGTCCGGGCGTTACTGCTGTGCGGCGGCGTTTCCAAGTGGCTGGACTATTAATGACGGTAACTGGTTTTGAACTCGCAAAAGCTGGTTGAGTTGACCAAAAGGTGCCTTCGGTCTGGACAAAAAAGTACAACGGGAATTTTTTGTCTCTGTATCAAGTAATATGCTTAGTGGAGATCTTCGTGGAACACACAGGCTTCTGTAATGTCACGATATGAAATGCTTAAGCAGAACAGGGGAAGCTGTGTTTTGGATTTCATCTGCACACAGTGGAAACCTCCGGCCGTCGTGCTGAGGTACGCTTCTGTGGGGAGAGCTTCATTAAACTCTTCCCTTTCCTATACCTGAGCAGGAGTGATTGTCTTTGCGTGCTGGACAAAAGCACTGAGATTTTGACTGGAGGGCCTTAATCAAATTAGAACTTACTTAAAGTGGAAAAACATTAAATACCACCTGTTACGGTGGAAACTTGTTGCTCAGTTGCTGCCTAGCTATGAAAATGTTTAAACTCTCTAGGAACCACAGTTTATGATCTTAACAGTTTGCTGGACACGTGGAAACTCTCTCCTGTAGGAGCACAAGGCTGGCTTTGTCCTGGCAGAGCGGGGCTGCTTCGCCGTCGGGCCGCCAAGAGCCACCCTCAGCATCCTGAAATGGGGTGCTCCTTTCAGAGTCACATTAGTGTCTTGTTCAGGTAGAGATTCTCGGAGCACACCTAACATGGTGGAAGCCCTGTCTTTTTTTCTTTCAAGTGCAGTAATGGCAGTGTGTGCCTTTGTGCTCTAAGTTAGGGACTAAAGCAGATACCAGGACTCGCTCTTTTCCTCCGCTGTCCCGTAATTTTACTCAGGGAGATTCGAACAGAACTGTGCCTCCCCTGAGGACTGCGCTGTAATCACAGGGTCAGTTCAGAGAATACGAGAAGATCCATTTTCCATTCCTAGTGTTTGAACTAAGCCTCTTGTTATCCCTGTGTGCTTGTCTCCTGCTATCAGGAGGAGTCATGTCATACAATGTCTGTCTGTTTCTTCTCTCTTTCCCCCCCTTCTTCTTGTCTTCATCTTCCCGGATCGTTTCTTCTTATTTCCTCTTGTTCTAAGATGTCTTTATTTGGTCTCCTCCCTCTTCTTTATTCCTCTCCTCCAGAACACCTGTAAAGGGGGTTTCCTTTAGCCTCCTTGTACATCTGATCCAGTCACAGTTGTCTCTCACATTGCAGACTTTACCTTCCATAATGGAATTAATGCACCTGTGTATTAATTTTGAGTGTTAATCTGAAATAGTTTAGTATTTGCTTCTTTTCCTGAAGTATCAGACAAGATGGCTATCTGTCAACAATGCTTGGAAAATTATTCCTCTCCTACTCCTTTCCAATTTGGTAGTGCTTATGGCAAAAGCACAATTTGACCTACTGAATCTTCTCTCTTTTCTATCAGCTGAAGGCCGTCTGTAAGAGGTTTTGGCTTGTGTAGTTTTACCTCCTGTCTTCAACTGCTGATACTCTGCTACTGTACAGAGAAAAAATTGAAGACATAATCTTTGTCAAGGAAGCTTTTAAATACCAATCTTGAGGTCAACAGCTGAAGTGGACAACTGAGAACTTGCTGAGAAGTTACTTTTCAACTCAGTGGGGCATCTGAGAAGCTGTACTTAATACATTCCATTTTTAGCTTTTTCTCTGTGCAGCTCAGCATGCTAGCCTTCAAAAATGTTTTGAGGCATGTATTCCAAGTGTCTCGCTAGGACTCTAGGGTTCTGGATATTTATTTTTTCCTTTGTCGTTGTTGGTTTTGTTTGGAATTAACTCAAGTTCTTAACTACATCAGTCTCCATTGATCTTTAAGTATCTGCCCCACCTGTGATCAAGCATTGATTTGAAAAATATTAGAGATGTCTGAACTGGTACAAGCTTTCTAAAAACCTAATTCTGTATATTTCAGGTATTAATTGCAGATTATTTTATTATGAAGGAGATCATAAACATAGAATTTAACTGCTGAAGTTCCTCCTAAATTGTAATAATTTCCATCTGCTAAGAAATAGGTTTTTTTTAAATGGCATGTTGTAAGTCTAGTTGATAATAGCAAAACTAATACAGTTAATGAATTGCTCCTAAATTTATGATGAGAAGTTTTGTAGTTCTGTCTGTTAAAACTCCAGAATCCCTTGGAATACATCCCTCATGTGAGAACAGAATAGAAATGAAAGTCAGTGTTTTTATATGGAGGTTGCTCATTGGCCAAGGTGCAATCATTTTATAAGCTTTTACAGATTTAGTGATTTGGGCTCTTCTAAAATGGAGTGAAATCTAATGCTCTGTAGTTCTCAGAGGGAAAACCTCATTCTGTTCAAAACCACGTTTTACTTCTTTCGTGGTAAAGTAACATTTCTAGATCAGAAGTTTGCAGAAGATACTGAAATAGCACCTCTAAAGTAAAAGGTTGCAGAAGGTGACTTAGTGTTCTAGCAGCAGATGCTGCTCCCTTTGCAAACAAAGCTTTAGCAAAACAGGTTTTTCATGTAGTGTTTGTATTCCGATGAAATTGCTTTTTTTCCCAAGTGCGAAAAATGATTCGGTTGAACTTTCTAGCTGTTTCTGTTAACCATGAATTCAGGTAATTAGGTTACATCACCTGTTAGGATTATCTGTAACCGTAGTAATGATGAATGTATTTGCATCTCTTAGTCTTCTGTATGTTCTGTAGTTTAAATGCAAACTGTAGTATCTGGGGTTTTTGTTTGTTTTTCATCTTTTCCAGCATTATCCATGTTTGGAACGACGGTTGGCCTTTATGGGATACCCTGGTGTAAGAAATCCCTGCTGTTAACTGTCTTAATGTCAGTTATTGGAGCTTCCATGGGAATCCTAGACACAGGTAAGGGACCACGTTGTCCGATAGTTCCTTCACCAAACTTAGCAACAAAACTGTTGCTGGTATTTCATGGGACACATCTTGAATGAAAAGAGGGGAGCTGTTCTACCTGGCCCTGGTTCTTGGATTATTGTGGTCCTGAGACTTACAGTGTTTGTGTCTCTGTAACAGGCCTTTGTTAAGGGGCTTGGGGAGCTGCATATCCCTTGCTTCCTGGAGAAGATCAGTGCATATTTCAGTGGGCAATTACAGACATAAAGGAAATGTCACGTGCTCCTTAAACTGCGTTTTCTTTAAATTCCTCATCTAGAGGAAGCTGGTTGGGTTCATTAGTGCCAGCTGGAGCTAAGTCAGTCCTGAGCAAGCCCTGGTGTTTGGGAGAGAGATCTCCACAGTTGCTGTGTTGGAGAGTTGGCCACCTAAACCTGGTCAGGTGGCGTCTGGGGAGTCACAGCAGACATTTGCTACCATAGCTCCCTTACAGCACCATGGCGTCCATCTTCCTGAATTAAGGAGTATTTGCTGCCCTTGGCCAGCGTCGCTTAGGTGTTTGGGAATACAAACTTATCCTGTGCCCCAGGTTGTAAGTCTGTGGCACGTGCGTACTGCAAACGGCCTGGAAAAAACACTTTTGCTGGAAACCTGTTGAAAACCAGTTTCTGAGTAGAGGTGTCTTATTGGAGGAAGAGATGACCGGTGAAGTTGCAGAGCAAATGTCTACAGGTGCGGTTGGAAAGGTCAGTTATACCAGAGGTATGAAAGAAATTCCCACAGAAATTGGTTCATTGGGCATGGCTTCGGAAGGAGGAGTTAGTGGTGGCTGTAGCAGGCAGTTTGGATTGGGAGGTGAGGCCACCACAAGAGACCTAAGCGCGCTTATCGATGAGTGGGTAGCGCTGGCACGCTTGCAGATGGGGACCAGGAAACAGCCAAAAATACGTCAGTGGTGGAGTGTTCTGGCACTGCTGTACCAGGTGGTGGTGAAGCTGCAACAGGCAGCCAGTGAGGTGCCAGCAGAGTGCCGATGTTCTGGGAGGGAGCCGGTAGTTACTTATCAGCCACCAAGGTATGACCGGATCTGGCTGACTGGCTTTGGGGCAGGCTTATTTCTGAGTAAGAGCTGGCTGATGGATTGGCCTGGCTATCCAAACAGCTCTGGAAGCACTCCAGCCAGGGCCTGGCTTCAGTGGCTTGGCTGGTAGGCAACACAGAGGAGTGATGGCTGCACGTGTGAACCATCTGCCCCAGTTGTGGAGCCTGATGGGGCTCTGTTAACAATGGAGAGAGCACGATACAGGGCTGTGCTGGTTTTGGCTGCGATAGAGTTAATTCTCTTCACAAATAGCTGGTGTGGGGCTGTGGTTTGGACTTGTGCTGGAAACGGTGTTGGTATTGCGGAGATTCTTTTGTTAGCAGTGCTCACACAGTCAAGGCCTCTTCTGCTCCTCACCCCACCCTACCAGTGAGCAGGCTGGGGGGGCACAGGGAGTTGGGAGGGGACACAGCTGGGACAGCTGACCCCAACTGACCAAAGGGATATTCCACACCATATGATGTCATGCTCAGCACTATAAAAGCTGGGGTAAGAAGAAGGAAGGGAGGGCATTCAGAATGATGATGTTTGTCTTCCCAACTAACTGTTATGCGTGATGGAGCCCTGCATGGGCACCATCCTTTGGCAGGCTCTGCCTGCCGTTGGGAAGCAGTGATTGAATTCCTTGTTTTGCTTTGCTTCCGTGCGCAGCTTTTGCTTTGCCTGTAAGACTGTCTTTATCTGAACCCACGAGTTTTCTCACTTTTATCCTTTCAGTTCTCTCCCCCATCCCACCGTGGGGGAGAGGGCGAGCGGCTGGGTGGGGCTTAGTTGCCAGCTGGGGTTAAGCCACGACAAGGATCCAGTAGTGAAAGATGGTTTTGCATGGCACAGGTTCTGCTAAATCAGCTGAGGGAAGAGCTGCGTTTGTTGCCTCATTGTACATGGCACTTGGTTTAAAAATTCTTCATATGGGGAAATGCTATCAGCTTATTGTAAAAATGCCTTCAGTGGGTGGGTGCGCTGCTTGGAAGTCAGACCTTTGAGGCAGGGAGACTTCCCAGCAGGAGAAACTAACAGCAAGGCAGCAGAGTGTAACTGAATTAATTTGGAAGTGTTGGTGCTGCGTGACAAGGGTTGCTGTACTGTAGCACAGAAATTTAGTTACTGTTCTTATTTTCCTGCATTCTTCTCAGGGACTACTTGAAAATGTCTCTCTGAGATTTTCAATATTTCAATAATTTCAATAATGCTAGATTATTTTCCAGCATTATTGTTGTTCTGAGGGTGTTGTAGTTTGGTCCCTGCAGTGGTATTACCGTAAACCTTTCCGCTACTCCCAGCCCATCAGAAACAAGCGATTCTTGATGTTTCCTGGGATGTTGTTTAATGAGGCCTCTGATTCTTAGCGTTGTGCATTGGTGCTTTTCAAACTTACAGAAATGAGAAGCAGTTAAACTTGCTCTTTTGAAAAAAGGCAGAAAAATATTGCAAATTGTCAAGGAGGGTAATTAAGTACAGCCATTGTTGCTGGATTAAGCCAGCGTGTGACTTTTCGTTTTGGCTGCTGCGAATACCCTCCTGGAGCTGGGTGATCACGTGGGTTTAAGGTGCTTACAGGCAGCATTTCAGTTAACTACAATTTTGCACGTTGTATTTGCTAAACCCGGTATTATTGCAAACCGAATTAATAATACAGGTTACGGTTTGGTTTGTCTTTTTTTATTTTTTAACCCGGTATCTGGTTTCAGACTAAAATGACTGAATCCTTCTCTCTCCGATCTGCAGGTGGCAATGTCCTGGCACTGAACACCTGGGGAGCAGAGGCTGGGCCACACATGCAGGCCTTACACTTCAGTTTTGCTGCCGGTGCGTTTGTGGCTCCGATCTTGGCTAAAATGGCCCTGGGAGGCTCTGAATCTACAGACCTTCCAGTAGCTGGAAAGACAAACCGGTCTGTGGCGAGGTCTGTACCAACAGCATCAGCTGTATCAGCTGCGTCCGCACTGAAACACCACTTTGGTACAGAATTCTTGTGGTCTTACGTTGTGATAGGGACCTACCTTCTCTTCGTTTCTTTCTTCTTTTTTATTTTGTATTCAAAGGGCAGCTCAGCTCGAGACAAATCAAAGGCCTCTCCGCAGAAATCCGTGTTTGCCAAATACCACTATGCCCTTATTTTTCTCCTGTGCATATTCTTCTGCTGCTACGTGGGAGCGGAGGTCACTTATGGCTCTTACATATTTACTTATGCAAAGGTCTTTGCCGAGATGAAAGAAAACGAAGCAGCCGCTTTGAATTCTGTCTTCTGGGGCGCATTTGCCGCCTGCCGAGGAGTGGCAATATTCTGTGCCGCTTGCTTGTACCCCGGCACCATGATCCTGCTGAGCATCGTCGGCTCCGCGGTCTCCTCCCTGTGCTTGGTCTTCTTTGCGCGGTACGTGGCTGTGCTGTGGGTGGGAACCGCTGTGTACGGAGCATCCATGGCTGCCATCTTTCCCAGCGGCATTTCCTGGATAGAACAGTACACGGTCGTGCAAGGAAAATCGG